GAGAAGAGGACAACAAACGAGGGGCTGTGACAAACTGTTTCGTCGGAGTTTCACCGAATATATATATCGTCAAACAGAGCTGCCCGGTAAACCGTGGGCAGAGAGGGAGAAGAGGACAACAAACGAGGGGCTGTGGCAAACTGTTTCGTCGGAGTTTCACCGACTCATCAGGAGGCTGGACCCTCAACAGTCTGCAGAATCCCCTAACTGATTACACTGTAAGTGATAATCCACCTTATATATCGTCAAATAGAACTGCCCGGTAAACCGTATATATATATACATGTTGCTACCGATGATGAGCTTAGCTCAGTTGGTACACCCATGAACTGCAGCCAGGTCCCCCTTACTTAGCCGGATTCACGGTATCTGGTCTAGTCCCTAAATACAGACGGCATGAGTTCGAACCCAGATGCAACAAGATGACCAGAATAAAATTACTCTAAATTACCTGGGGGCAGACGGTTGAATGAGGATTTTTTATTTTTTTATTTTTTGCGGAAAGGGAATGAGGAGATATCTCAAGGCTGTCGCCATTCGTAAGAGGGGTGTGTGTGGGGGGGGTGGATAACAAAATAAAAATTAATTGCGCTGTAGTCACTTCTGCGCGATGTAATGATGGCTAACAAAAAGGCTTCCCGATTTATAGCACGGCGGCATGGGGCCTCGCACCACTGCACAACACTCTATCTGTATCTGGATGTCGTTGTCGTCCCGATACGTTCGATGTTGGAGTCTTCCAAACGCACTTGACCCAAAAGGCGTCAAAATGCATTTAGAGTACGGAGTAGTGGAGCTAGGCCCAGAGTGTACATCTTTCCACCAGATTGATTTTCCAGCTCAGCAACCGTGTTGATCCAGCATCTGCGGCCAGGTCCCCTTCACTTAGCCGGATTCACTGTATCTGGTCCATAGATTGCGTTGCTCATCGTAATCAATGGACCAGATCGAAGATGGGAGAATCCAGGCGAGTGCGACCTCCTCCTGGGGGCTTGCGCTTTTTTTCGTTCTTTCTATTTTTTTAGTTTTTTAATTTTAGATTTTGTTTTTTGTTTTTTTATTCTTAATTTTAAATTTCTATTTTTAATTCTTGAGACGAATGCATCCAACCTGGTCATCCATCATCTATTGTGATAGACCTGATGAGGATGAATGCCTGAACCTGGGCGAGGTCCCACTAGCAAAGAGGATTGGACTGAATGCCTGAACCTGGGCGTGTTTTAAGCGGAGATGCGGAAAAGCAGTTCGATCTCGATTTTCTGCACCTCTCCACAAACAAGTCCAAATTCAGGTGTGTTCAATCCAATCCTCTTTGCTAGTGGGACCACGGCCCAGGTAATTAAACAATATCACATCCCTTAAGAGTTACTCTTATTGAGTTTAAAAAAAAAAAAAAAAAAAAAAAAACAAACCGAATGTGGCATCCTGTCTGACTTCTTTATCAAAGTTACTCAAAGGTTACGCGTATGAAAAAAAAATATATATATATGGTTCACACACGCCTACGCCTACCGCCCTCCCCCGAACACAACGCACCCTCATCGTGTATGTATGCTAGCTGTCTTTCCGATCAGATACATCCATAATGAGGGTGCGTTGTGCTCGGTGGAAGACGGTAGCCATTTTGTGTTCTCATTGGGTAGTGGCGACTCATAAAAATAGTATTTAGTAAATCTTTTTCATACATGAAAATATTTCAAAATATTTTTTTCATATGTGATGGCTGGCCGGCTTGAATTTACTGTAAATTCCAGATGACCGAAAAATGGCGCGCAGTCGAAGAAGATGAGCAGCGATGGCTAAGCGAACGCGACAGATTCTTCTTGCAGGATGCATCTGGTCGGCAAAGCGGACCTGATGCACATTAAAGGGCGGGCCAATAAGGGACAACCACGGACATCGTCGTCAGCTCAGTCTATTCGTCTCTATTCTTTTTCAATTACTAATTCCCCCCTCCTCCCACCCCCCCCTCTCTCCTCCCCCCCAAAATTACGCAACGATCTATTGCATGCCCTGACGTGTCCGTGGTACGCTGCGTCGGGACCGAGTCGGGACTGCGGCCGAGATACTGCCAATCATGGGGGGGCTCAATCATCATGGGCATTTCCTGCCAAACTGCGTCGGGACTTGCGGTCGAGGTGCGCCGACGGGATATGGAATCGCGACGTCCACGTCACCAGAATCACCTGTGCTCGGAGGCAATCAACAACAGCAATCAAGATTGCGTATGGGTATAAGAGGTACACTCTTAATCAGTGGACGTCGTGGCTCTCACCTATTCTCTTGCTCCCTCTCCATCTCTCCTCCTCCCTCCTTCCTCCTCCCTCCTCCCTCCTCCTCCGTCTTCCCTCTGTCTGTCTTTTTCTATTACTCCATGGAGCACCGCCGTTGCATCCGAACAGGTCGAGCACTGGCCATCACATCATCCATCATCATCCATCATCATCCATCATCATCATCATCATCATCATCATCATCAGATCCAGTGATCAGATCCAGTGATCAGATCCATCATCATGACATCCAGTCATCGCATCGATCACATGTCCTCCATGAATTATCTCTCTCTATTGATCCCATCGAATCTCATTTACCACATTTAGTTTCATTTAAATTGATTTAATGCCATTTATTGAAAAAAATAATCTCCTTTCAAGGATTGCAATGTCATTTAGGGGGGATAAATCCCATTTTAATCTCATTTAAGGAATCTAATGTCATTCAATCATTTATCATGAAATCTCTTATATTTTCCATTGAATCTCCATTTAAATCTCATTGGATCTTATTGAATGAGAGATTTGAAATCTCATTAAAGTATCCCTTAGGGAGTTGAACCGCATTTTTTACAGTAATTAATGATTTCAATCTCATTTAAGGAGTCTAATCTCATTTAATACTGTAATAAAAATAATCATCGAATCCTCCCATCTCATCACATTCCGCATGACGAAGCTTTGCTTGTTTTCCAGTTTGTGCTGATGTCTACGACTCTTTGTGATTCTCTGTTTCTACTGCTGTCTTTCGCTCTTGTTCTTTGTCTACTATCTTCGCTGCTGCCTACCTCTTTTCTCTTAGAAATCGATCGATGAATGGATCAGTCATACAACATTTACGATCGATCGATCGATGAATGGATCAGTCACCGATCGATCTACCTCGATCGATCCATTCATTGATGAATGGTCGGGCGGATTGATCAAACGTGTTCATCATCGATGAATGGTGGATGGATCATTCATTGATCATTCATCGATTCATCAATGAAGGATTGAGCAGATCGAACAATCCTGTTCATGTATGAATGATCCATCGATGAATGGTGGATGGATGGATGG